GGCTGCGGAAACCCGGCCTAATTGGATCCAGGACGCTGGGAGCCTCTTTCTTCCCAGGGAAGGAAGTTCTCAGCAGTGAGTTTCTGGGGCTGGCCAGGTCTGGCCAAGGTCTTGAGACTGGGGTGGGGTGAAGCGGCCGGGGCTCAGGGTTCTAGGCTGCATGAAGTGGCAGTACGTGGAGGGCAGAGGGGCCATGGGAGGCAAACTGAGCATGTCTCAGGAGCCTGAAAGATGGGAAGCCTCAGTTTCCCTCTCCTAGACCATCTGCTTATCCCCTCCAGGCCATCCTTCTAGCCCCATAACAACTTGTCCATTGGAAACCTTGGCCATGGCCCTCCCTTGCTCAGGGACCTCCCGTGTCCCCGCCATGGTCTTTCACTGGAGCACCTTAGCTTGGAACTCTGGTCCTTTATGAACGGCTCCAGCCACCCCACCCTTCTTCCCTTGTGAATTCCTGCACTGTATCCCTGACCCACGTGATGCGGTTTGCTTTCCTGCCTCGGGGCCTTTGCACATGCAGTTCTTCCCACCTGCCATGCTCTCCTCTGGCATCTCTCTGGAAATTTCCCTCCTGAAGTCTGTTTTTCCCAGTGAGATGAGTTCACCCTCCTGAGAAGGCTGCCACTACCCTCCTTTCCCTCCCAGCCCAACTGCAGCAGTAGCTGTTGCCCCTCTCTGGGAGCAGGGACTGTGTTTGAGAAGCCTTTGCTCTCCCAGGGAGTTAGCAGTTTTCCAGCCTCTGCGCACACTGCCCCTCTGCTGCATCGACTCTTCTAGCAGACTTCTGAGTCTTCACGGCACACATGGAAAGACCCCTCCTCATCGGTTCCCTCAGTGATCATCTGTTGAGTACCCATTGTATGCTAGCCCTACTGCATGGCTGGCACTGGGCTCTGGGGCTGCAGTAGTGATGGCTGATGGGGAGATAGGCCTAAGACATATTTAGAGGCATGGTATTAATACAGTGGTGGTGTAGGGAGAATGCAGGGGACCATGGGAATGTGTAACAGGGTAGCCCAATTCCTATGTGGGAAACATCAAAAGTGACCTTTTAAGTTGAGACAGTAGGGGAGACCTGCGTGAGCTGTGGGCCTGTGTTGGGGTAGGGGTTATAACTAAGAACCAGACCAAGCCCTGCTTTTGGGGAGCTCACAGCCTACCTGGGGGACTGGACAAACAAATAACCAGATAACCAGACAGTTCCTCAAGGCAGTGCCAGCTGAGCTGAGTTTTGAGGGCAGGGTTCCAGTTGGGTGGTATGGGTCCCAGACGGAGGGGGCTCAGCCTGTGCAATGGCATGGCACATCAGAGCATCTTGTTCTAGGGGCCCTGATGCTGGAGGGATGGATGCCGAGGGGCACACCTGGTGAGATGAGCATGGCCAGGGGACCTTCTTGGCAAAAGCTGGAGCATCAGGCTGTGGAGTTTGAACTGGACTCTAAAAGTAATGGGAACTAAGAAGGATTTTAAGCAGTAGACTTAGTGCCCTGGGCAGGCTGTCCGTCAGCCTGGTCATTCCCACTGGGGCCCCTGGATGGGACCAGGAGTCCCTTCCTGACTGTTCTCCTGGCTGGGGTCATGGGTGGGACTGGAGGTTTGCTGTGGGATTTTGAGCAAGCCCCTGTCCCTCCCTGAGCCCTGCTCTCCTGAGTAAACTTGCAGGGCCTGAGGCCAGAATCCTCTGTGGGGCTGTGGGCTGGGATTTGGGGTATCTTGCTTTGCCAAAGCTTGCTTAACTTTTGGTTTTATTAAAAATATTCCCTTAAAAAGTCACATGACAGTACTCTTCCAGGCCTGTCACCCCATCAGCTGTGACATACAGAAAAATGAGAAAACAGGGATATGAAATAAATAAAAACCCACCCCATCTCTGCCCCTGCTCCAAGCTGGAAACATCACCTCTGTTAGCATTTTGGTGTCTTCTTTCCCTCTTTTCTGTCAGCACCCAGTTTTTATGTAAATGTCATTGCTGTGTCTGTACATGCAGTTTTAAAAAATCTTCCCCTTTCCCCTCTGACTGTTGTTGTATCACGAGTATTTGTTAAGTGACTGCAGAGTGGTTTCAGTCCTTCCTTTTAATGGATCCAGTGTCAGTATGGGCTTTAGGGTCTGATTATCTGGATTAAAATCCTGCACATAACTGCTTGACTTTGGGCAAATTTCCCGATCTCTCTGTGCCTTCAGTTCCTGATAGGCCAATGTGAGTGTTAAATGAGTCATTACAAGGCCAGTCATATTGGCTGTTATTAACAACCAGAGACTGTGTCACCAAGTAACATGACTTACACGGAACCTGTTTAAAATTTTGGCTGTTCCAGGTTTTTGCTGTTGTAAAAAAAAAAAAAAAAAAAAAAAAAAAAAAAACAAACCACTGACGCAAACAGCTTTGTGCATATAACTTTTTCTATATTTGGGTTATTTTCTAGGGATGGATGACCAAGAATGGGATCACTAGGCTAGGAAGTTTGGACATTTTTAGAGCTCTTGACAAATTCATGCCGGATTGTTTTCAGAAATGATTGTTACAATTTATACTCCCACCAATGATACATGGCATGCCAATTTCACCATACCCTCATCAGTATTAAGTGTTAGCATTTTCTTGCTTCTTGTTGCTGTTTTGACAGGTGAAACTCACTGAATTTTCACTGCTAGGGAAGCTGAACCATTTTTTGTGTTTATTATCTGTTAACATCCTTTTTGGGTCAGCTAGTCTTTAGAGAATACACATAGCCCCTTGGGTCAATTAGGAAGACAGGACTTAGATACAGAAAAGAGGGGACAGTGTAACACAGAGGACAACACAGTACCAAAGTGGGTGGAGGGGACTCGGAGGAGGGGGAGGGGGCTTCCTTCTACCAGGCCACAGCCCTTTCAGTCCCTACTTCCCTGATTATTAAGTAATTGATTAATTAATCCAAACCTTTATCTGATACTCTTCGGGGCTTAAAAGATAAATAATTCAGCCATGATCCCTCCCCAACAGAGCACATGTCCAGCAGCAGAGATGGATGAGCAAACAGACAGAACATGGGGTGAGAGAGGTTCTGCTGTTGGAAATGCAGGGTACAAAGGGAGCAGAGAGGAGAGCACACAGTTCAGCCCAGGCATGGGGGCAGAGCAGTCCCTGATTGCTTCCAGGAAGAGGTGGCCTGTACGCTGGGGCCTCAGGGATGCACTGGAATTCACCAGTGAAATCGGGAGGGCAGAGAGCACCAGGGAGAGGATGCAGCCTGCAGAAGGTGGGAAGGTGAGAAGGGAAGCGGAGCCCTGGGGAACAGGGGAGACTGTCAGTCTGGCTGGGCAGTACAAAGTAGAACAGCCAGAGAGATCGGCAGGGGCCACACATGTCTGGAGGAAAGTAGGGAGCTATGGAGGGTTCTTAGAAGGTCCAGGTTGTGATTTTCTATTTTATTAAAATCACAGTGACTGCAGTAATGGAGTGGAGGATGAGGGTGGGGGACCGGGAAACCTGTGAGGAGGCTCTTACAATAGCTGAGGCTGGAGGTGAGGGGGGCCTGGATCAGGGCCAGGGAGGTGTTGTAGACCTTCTTCTCCCCCACCCTGTAGGATCCTAACCAGCGTCAAGGTGCAGATTGAATGCCACCTCTTCCAGGTACCTCTTCCTGACACCCACCCTCCATGTTCATGCTTTGAGGCTGGGGGCTGTGCAGGGCCTGGCACGCAGCAGTCAACTGCCTGCCCACCAGCAACTGACCCTGACCTCCCCCTGCCCCGTGCCTCTGGATCCTCCATCTGTTGCCCGCACTGGGCTAACAACTCCTTTCTCTGATTTTTTAAGAATGAATTTATTGTTTTCATTAAGCAACTGAACGGCATTACCGAGAACTTGGAAATCAGAGAAACAAAGACCAAGACCAAGATTGGCCCCAGCTGCCTCCCGCCTTGCTCCCAGCCTCGCTCTGGGTGTGGCTCCCTGAAGCTTGATTTTTCTGACGCAGATTTTTATTTCTGCCTCCTTTGTAATAGCTTCCGGACAGTTTGGAGTCCTGCTCTCTTGCATTTGCTTTGTGAGGAGCTAATTCCCATGTGGCCATGGGGTCTGGGCACATCTCTTCTTTTTAAAGATGGGTTCTCGCTCAGTCACTCAAGCTGGAGTGCAGTGGTGTGATCATGGCTCACTGCAGCCTCAAACTCCTGGGCTTATGCGATTCTCCTGCCTCTGCCTCCCAAAGTGCTGGGATTACAGACATGAACCTTGCCCAGGCAAATCTCATTTTTTAATGTCTGTGGGTCGGGCTGTAAGTTGCTTTACTGAACCCCTCCGCATTGCAGTGAGTGAGGCTCACTACACCCTTCCCTGGACTTCTGTTCTCTTTGTGTTCATTTGTCCAGGTCTGAATGTCTCCAGGTGGCAGGGCCTGACACCTGATATACCCCTTCCTCAGTACCCCTCACTTAATTCCCCTCTGTGGAGCTTGCTGGGCTGGCCTCAGAGACACCCTTTTGGGACAGGGTGATAAACAGACCTGGTTTCAAGTTCAGACTCAGCTCTGTGACCTTAGGCAACTTGCTCAACCTCTCTGGACCTCAGTTTCCTCATCGGTACAGTAGGTCTATTATGAGAGTAAAATAATGGCTGTAAAATATCCTGGTACAGTTCCCAGTCCATTGGAAGTGGCCACCTTGGGCTAGAGACCGGCAGAAATGAATGAGCACCAACCCTACTTGTGAAGCGTTTGAAGTCCAGTGGGGAGGACACCCAGGAAAATATAACTGCACTGGAGTGCAGTTGGCCCTATAGTACCGGGTCAGATCTGGGTGGCATCCTAACTCCATCACTTACGAGCTGTGTGACTTGGGGCGAGTTGGTCAGTCTCTCTGAGCTGCACTTTCTTCTGTTACATGTGCATCTCACAGAGTCATTGGGAAAATTCAGTGACATGAATCATAACATACTCAACACAGATGTTGAAATCAATGGTAGCTGGCACTTTATTACTATTATTATTGTTGTTATTGTTATTCCCATATACAAGGTGCTGTTGGGAACACAGAGGAAGTGACTGGCTGGGGGTTCAGGGAAAGCTCCGTAGAAGAGGGAACACTTGAGCTGGGTCTTGAAGGATGAGTAGAAGTTCACCAAGTGGGAAAGGACACTCTAGGTAAGGAGCCTGTGATTCCAGGTTGCACTCTGTCAATGAGGGTTTGTTCTCTGGGGGATTAAAGCACTGTGTTTGTCCCGCCTTCCCTGAGTGCCCCCTCTGCCACCCTCCGGGTCTGCCCTGGGGGAGGTGTGTGCTTACCCTCCTGTAGCAGCCTCCTGTGTCGTGGTGGCTGTGGGTTCCTCCTCACGGCAGCAGCTGGGTCCCCATCAGTCCATGTTTGGGGCCACAGGTCTGTGTCTGTCATGTGTGTCTTGGTTTGGTACTGTCTGTCCGCATGTTCCTGTGGCTGTATTTGTCAGCACTGGTATCCACTGGGCCTCCTGGGCTCCACTGTGGGGGCCCCTTTGCATGCTTCCTCGGCCTCCAGCTCCAGGCCTCTTTAGCCGCTCTCCTCCCTGGCCCAGGTGCAGCCCCTGTCTCTCTGCTCTGCTTCCCAGGGGCTTCTCGCTGCCTCTTCTCCTGGCCTTTCTAGTCCCCTCTACACTGGGCACTCAGAGGGGCCTTTCTCAACCACAGATTCTGTACCATCACCCACTGCTTCAAGTCCAGCCTCCAGGCCTAGGAATCAGGGGGCAGCCTTTTAGATCTGGCCCCAGCTGCTGGCTCCCACCTCATCTCCTGTCAGGCAACACTGGATGCTCGTGGCTCCCCTCACACACTGTTGGGCTCCTTGCCTGGGGTCCTTTGCTCAAGCTGTTGCTTCTGCTGGGAATGCTCTCACGCCTTCTCTGCCTGGCTAACTCCCACTCATCCTTTAAGACCCAAGGCAGGCATCACCTCCCCTGGGAAGTCCTCCCTGGTCCTCTCCAGGCTGGGTCAGGTCCCTGGCTCTGGGCTGCTAATCCCTTACATGGGGGGCAGGAGCAAATGCCTTGCCCAAGATCACACAGCTGGTGAGTTGGAGTCAAGATTGGAACGTGGGTATGTTGGGCTGCAAACAGAGCAGGCTGTTCCACGGTCCAGCTGAGGCGACAGTGGCTGGGACCGTTGGAGAAGAGTGGGTGGGCTTGAGAGAGATTTTGGAACTGGAATCCTGAGGACATGGCTGAGATGGGTCTGAGGTGGGTGGGAGGGAGGGTGAGTGTGGTAGATCACTGTGTGTCTCTGCAGGAGCATCTGGGCAGATGGGGATGTCTTGCTGTGAGTTGGGGATGACTAGATGAGGTGCATGGCATAGGGGAAGACCAAGTCCAGCTCAGGCCTGTGGAGTAGGAGCAGCCCAGGAGTCGGCCTGTCGGGGAGAGGCCTGGCAGGAGGTGGGGACTTTGGGTGTGGCGGGTGTTTAGACTCTAGAGTGGGTGGGCCACCCAGGAACTGAGGCTGGTGGGAGAGAGGGGGCTCCCACTCCATCCCGAGGAGCTGATTTGGTGGGGAAGAGAGGCTAAAGATGTTAAAGGAGGCAGAGAAAGGGGAACCAAGGTGTCATGGCACACAGGACTTCTCCAAGGGACCGGGCGGCAGGGAGGCCGCGGAGGACAGGACTGGAAGGTGGCCCATCAGCTTTGACCTCAGGGAGGTCACTGGTGGTGTGTGGAAGGTCCCATACATGGCAGTTCTTTGCAGAAGCTTGTGGGTCACTTGTCGGCTTCCTCCACCTAGCTTGGGGCTGGGGAGGTCAGGGTTCTTTCCATTTGGCTCAGGTTCCCCAGCACTGGTCCCCGTTTGGCCCAGAGGATTTGTCTAGGTCTGAATGGATGGATAGACGGATAGGTGGGCCAGCTGCCATCAGCAGCAGAATGTTTCATTCATTTGCCCATCCATTGTTTTTCACCTTTTAGAATAAGAGAAACAAAATGACATTTGCTCCCCTGTAAGGATCAGCCCTGTGTCTTGGGGCTCACAGTAGAAAGTCTTGGCTTTTGTCGTGCTTGAGGCCTGGCCACCAGCGTGTCTCCTCTGCCCATCCTGGCATGCACACTCAACCCCAGGGAGGCTCCTCTTTCCCCACCTGCAGCCCTCACCAGATCCTCAAATAGTTCCCTCTGCTTCAGCGCTCCCCTGGTCCATCATATTTCCTGATGCCTTTTCACCACCAGCATTCCAACCCAAGATCTTAGCATGGCATTCAGTGCCCTGCGTCTCACCACCTCCCTGCGCTGCAGCTGTCTTTGGTGCCCGTGGGTGCTGTTCACTGTCCCAAGCCTGCCTTGTGCTTCCACATCTCCGTGCCTTTGCTCAAGCCGTGACCTCTTCCAGAAATGTCCTTCTGCCTTGTCCCTCTGTCCTGAACACACATCTGGCCATGTCTCTCTCTGGCTTCAAGCCCTTCCCTTAGGCAGGGTCTGAGTGGCTTGGTCTGATCCTGGCCACCTTCCCCCCACTCACCTCTTACCAGGGCCATACCCTCTCATACAGGTCCCAGGGCTGCACAGGGGGTACCTACCTCAGAGTCCTGTTGGGGGTCTCACATGAGATGCTGTTGATGAACACCTAGAAATGTGTCTGACATGCAGGAAGAGCTCAGGAAATGTTCAGCCCATGCCCTGCCTTCCCTGTGCCTGACACACAGTAGGTAGACACCAGGACTAGGGTCACTGACTGGATCATTAAATTATGTAGAACCAGCCAGTAAAGGATGCAGAGAAATCAGGCAGAAGTGATACTGATCAGATTAAGCGATCTGGGGCCCAATGAGAGTGAGGGATGGCCCCTGCCTGACCAGGGGTCTGATAGGTGGCAGAGAGAATGCTGTATCCCAGCTACGGTACCCAGGGGCTAGGCCCCCTCTTCCCATAGCTCCCTGACCAGGGTCCTGGCTCTGAACTTTGCATTGAACTAAACTAAAGAGGAGGAAAAGATGGATCTTCCAGAACAGAGAAGCAGCGAAGCGCAGTGGGCAGAGTCCTGGGCCAGGGCAGGAGTGAAGCAGGGTAGCCTGTTTCACCCCATTTTATAGATGAGGAAACCCGAGGCTTAGAGAGCTAGCACCCAGCATCGCAGCGCAGTGCTGCTTCCTGTTTCTCATGCATGTGGCCTGAGCAAGACGCCTCCCTCCTGGTGCCCTCGTTTCTTCCTCTGTGAAATGCGGGTGAAACTTCTTCCTTGCTTGCCATCCTCCTGGGGTTCTGATGAGAATGCCGGTGGGCACAGAAGAGCATTGTAAACTATGAGCAGTGATAGATAATTGTATGGGATTGTCTTTAAAATCATTCTGATTATTATTACTTCATTTATTCATTCCATCATGCAACTCACATTATTGATAACCGCTGGTGCTGGGTGCTGGGGAGACCCAGATGAACGAGACAGATGTATCCAATCCATTATGCAACTCACATTATTGATAACCTCTGGGCCTGGGTGCTGGGGAGACCCAGATGAACGAGACAGGTGTTTCCAATTCCCATGCTTCTCTGGTTAAGTCACCCAGCTCCCTGCCCTTAGCCGTGGAGTCTCCTTACCCTGGCTTTACAGCGCAGTCCCCTCCATATTTGCCCCTGTGGACAACAGCAGAGTTGGGACAGGTCCAGACACGGCTGTTTGAGCAGGTGCTTGCCTGTGAGGTCACAGCCATGTCATCCTAAGGTAGGGCTTATTCACAAGCCTGTGGTCGGGACGCTTTGTCGTTCCCCTGAATGGCCAAGGGACTGATGAGCTGGACTTTGGAGTCAGGCAGATTAGGGAGGGAATCTCAGCTCTCTGCTTACTTGCTGTGTGACCTTGAGCAAGTCACTCCACCTCTCTGAATTCAGTTTCCTGAGTTATAAAATGGGGATGGTAAGAGGGCCTACCTGCCTTTCAGCATCGTTGTGTCTGGCACAAGAGAGGCACTTGGTAACCTGCAGCCTCCTCACTGTAATTATTGTTTCGAGTTTGTTCTGGGAAAGGAGAAGTCCCAGGGGTCTGGAGCAGTTGGGGAGAACTCCAGGCAGGAAGTACTTGTGTTGGGCTGTAAGGGATGGGTGGGCAGAGGGAAGGGCATCTTGGTGCCTGTGGATGGCAGAGCAGGAGGGCTGATACAGGGCAGGAGCTGCCCCAGCCACCTCAGGAGGGTGCTCTGACTCAAACTGGCCCTCAGGCTGGGAGTGAGGGGTAAGGATGTTTGGATATAGGTATTGAGCTATTTGTATATGGGCATTTGCTCTACCAAAGACTAGAGTTTGCAAAGCAAATTCCCCAGAGGAACCAGCTTGAGCAAATCTGATTTCTAGTTTTGACTGTAGCACCTTCGCCTTGTGGCCCTAGACAGGTCTTCTCCTTTGCCGCTCTCTGAGCCTCAGTTTCTTCACCAGTAAAATGGTATAATACTACCTCTTATGCTTCAAGTAAAGATCACAAGAGATAATTCACGTAAAATTTCTTTCTTAAAATGAGATTAGATTGTGTCCTTATTGAGGGTTTTCTCCCGAAACCCTATAGCGACCATTCCAGTAGGGGCTTCTCAAGCTCATAGGACCAGGAAAAGAGGTTAAAAACACTTAATTTTGATCTTTCCTGTCAAAATAAACAATTACATTTAAGCAACAATACCAGTTAGGCAAGTGTTTTCTGTAAGAGAGAGATAAGAGAAACTTGACAGGGAGCAGGACTTAATGGAAACCCTCTGTGAGGCATGGTCCCTGTAAGTCGCTTCTTGACTTACTCTAGGGTCGCAGGAAGACAAACCTTCTGGAAGACTGAGATAGCCCTGAAGGCCCATCCTTCATACTGCCCTGGTTGAAAAGGCCTTCTAACCGCACAGGCCTGCCATGGAACTTGCCAGAGGTGAGGGCCACCAGACAGTTTGTCACATACTTTTACCGGAGAGCCCAGACTGCCCTCGCTTCAGGCCTCTCCAACCCCACCCCTCTGTAACCACAGCATTCTCATGCACATCGTTGTAGGTCAGATATTGCACGTCGAATTGAACAACCACAGGTGGCCTGTTTCTTGAAGATAACTTTCCAGTAATATAATTTCTTGAGTCAAAGGGCATTGATCATTTGCGGCACTGTAAATTGTCCTGCCAAACTGCCCTTCAGAAAGGGTGTTTCTGGTGACCCCATGTTGCCCCCAGAGTTTTAGAAGGATGTCTGTACTCAAGGGTCAGGGGGCAGAAGGGCAGGGATTAGGGATGGGCATTTACAGATTTGCTCCAGGACTCCCCAGTTTGTCTCTGGACTTGGGGGGAACCTTCTGTGCTGAACCCACAGTGTTGGCATAGTAACCTGGGGCCCTCCTGGGGATGGAGATTGGTTAGCCAGCATTGGGGTAATGAGGGGGGAGCTGGATGAGCATACATACTAAGGTTTCGATGTGACCTTTGCCTTCTGGGGCCCACTAAGTGAGTGGTGAATTAAGGTTTTTCCGCCTGGAGGTGTGGCTCCCTGGGCCTGGTGGGAGGCCTGCTGTGCTGTGAGGCTGAGGGACCTATGGGGACATGGATCCCAGACATTGGCCCCGACTTGAGTGGGTGAAATTGAGGGGTGCTCGACAAGGCGTGGGGGAGGGCTCCCTTCCCGGTGACAGTTGATCTCTTCCTGCAGGATGGCCGAGCCTCGATTTAACAACCCCTACTTCTGGCCCCCTCCTCCCACCATGCCCAGCCAGGTAAGACTGACGTCGCCCCTCTGGCTTTCCCACTCTCCCTGGAGCTGCTTCGCTTTGCCTTGGGTTTTGGCTGTGGCCTGCGGGGCGAGGGGTGAGGATCGAGGGGCTAGCGGGTGGACCAGCGGGCCTGGGGAAGGCTCGGGGCGCAGGCCAGACCGCCTCAGCCCCTCCGCTTCCGCCCGCAGCTGGATAACCTGGTCCTGATTAACAAAATCAAGGAGCAGCTGATGGCCGAGAAGATCAGACCGCCTCACCTGCCGCCCACCTCGGCCTCGTCGCAACAGCCGCTGCTAGTGCCGCCGGCGCCCGCTGAGAGCAGCCAGGCCGTCATGTCGCTGCCCAAGCTGCAGCAGGTGCCGGGGCTGCATCCGCAGGCAGTGCCGCAGCCCGACGTGGCGCTGCACGCGCGGCCGGCCACCAGCACTGTCACAGGTAGGCGGCGCGGGCGGGGCCGCGCGAGTGGGCGGGGCCTGCGAGGACTGGACCGAAGGGGGCGGGTGTAGAGGGGGCGCTTGGTGAGGATGGGACCCCGGGAGGTGAGAGCAGGGTGGGCAGGGCCTGAGGGTAGGACACAAAGCTTTGGGTGGTGGGTCTGGCCCCGACGAGCCACAGCACCAGACTTCCAACAACCCTGTACTGGAAAGACGCTCCACCCCACAGTGGACACGACAGGAGTGGGTGACTGCCCCATAGGGCATACCAGGAAAGTCAAGTTCACATAGAGAACTTTGGAAATCCCGAGATTCTTTGGGACTCCAGAGAACGACCCTGACCAGATCTAGGGGGTCAGAGACTTCCTAGGAGGAGCCAAAACGCAAGGAAAGGTTGGCTGCAAACTAGGGAACTGGGACAGGAAGTGGAAACCGCACATGCGAGGGGAGTATGTGTGTAGGAAGCAAGAGAAGGATAGACCGTCAGGGGTGGGAAGGCCGGGAAGGTGGTGGTGGTGATGATGGTGATGATGGTGATGATGGTGATGATGGTGATGATGGCAGCTGGCTCCAGTCGAGCACTGGTGTCTGTTCACCAGTGTTCATTGTACTCCCAGCAGCCTGTGAGGTGTGTGCTGTTGGTATTAGGTGGAACACTGGACTGTTTTGACTTAGAAAAACAGCAGTTTCATGCAGTTCACCTTAATGTCTCCATTCAACAGATGAGGAAACTGAGGCAGCGAAAAGTAAAGCCACATGCAACCACAGTTTACAGCTAGTAAGAGGCAGAAGCCGGCAGTGTGGCTCCAGAGCCCATGTCTTTACTCTGTTTCAATGCTCAGTTCTGCTGAGGCTTCGAGGAAGTGGGCACCAGATTACGAATGGTCCTGTGGGCCACAAAGGGGTTTGGACTTAACCCCTTGGGCAGTGGGGAACCATTGAAAGTTTTTAAGTAGGGGAGGAAACACTCAGAGGTGGGTTGAGAAAACCAGGTCTGGCTGCAAGGTGGAGACTGGGCTGTCAGGGGATCAGCATGCCAGCAGGGAGATTGTCAGGAGTGTGGTGGCCTGGGCAAGGCAGCGGTAGTGGGAACGGAGAGAGGTGGACAGATCTGAGATACATCGTGGGAGAAGAGAGGACAAGATGTAGAAGGGTGAGGGAAGGGAGGAGGTGAGGGAGACTCCCAGGGCACTGCCCCTGTGATGGAATCCCTGGAGGAGGAACAGGGCTGGGGAAAGATGTGAGCTTAGTCTTGGATAGGTTGAGGCTAGGGTGCTGGGGGACATCCTGGGGGTAATGACAAGGGGCTGGAGCCACCAGAGGGCCTCCTTGGAGCCTGGTTATTTAGGCTTTCTTGGGAGACCACAGTGGCTGGGCTTTGTTCCTCCCCTGTCGTCCTTACTGCCAGCTAGGCGCTTCTGCCTCTTTCCGTCTCTCCCCGCTTTTCCCAGAGTCACCCAAGAATTACAGGGCCTGGCAAACCTCTCCAGGCCCCAACTGCACTCTGCACATCCCCTGTTATTATGATTTTATTATATTTATTTTTTCCATTATAAAAGTAATATTAAAAAAGTAATATAAGCATATTAAGGAATATTTGGAAAAAAGAGAAACTAGCAACACAAAAAATCATTCATAATCCCCAGCTCCCAACCCAGCAGCTCAGAGAGGCTCTTGGTCCATTTCCTTCCTTTGCCATATTTTTTTGTTTTCCAGTATTCATGTGTGTTTCGCTGAGCTTGTGGTAGGGCTGTACCTATTATTTAACTTGCTTTTTCTACTCACCATTCTGTCATAAACATATATATTCCACTTTTTATTATAATGGTAATACATAGTCATTATAGAAAATTTAGAAATTGCCAACAAGCTGAAAAGAGAAAAAATAGCCTTAATCCTACTGTTAGAATTTTTATATGTTTATAATTTATTTTATTTTGTCCTTTAATCACAGATGTTAAAAATAGATGAACTCACCAGGTAAAAGATTCAAATAATATAGAATCGGGTAGACAAAGAATGAAAATCTCCTTTTACCAAAAAAAAAAAAAAACTTCTCTTTCCCTAGAGAGAACCACAATTAGCGGTTTGTTGTGTCTCTTCTCAGATCTAGTCCTGTGCGTTTACATGCACATGTATCTTGTCCATATATATGTATGTAGTTTGAGTGTGCCTTCTTTAAAAGAGATACCTCGTATGTCTGATTTGCTTCTCTCGTCTGACAGCACATTTTGACCTCTCTCCCTGTCACTGCATCACATCGAGCTTGTTTTAGTGGCTGTGCAGTTCCCCCAATGAAAGTGGACCACGGCTGCTTACAAAGCTCATGCTGAGGACAAATAGGTTGTGTCCAGTTTTGTCTGATCACCGATTTGTATGGAAGGCCCATGTACACACATCTCTTTGCTCATGTGGGAATGTTTCTTTATTGTAGATTTCTAGAAGTAGAATTGCTTGGTCAAAAGTTATGTACATTAAAATTTTTTGAATTACTTATTATTTTTTAAAGAGATAGGGCCTTGCTCTATTACCCAGGCTAGAGAGCAGTGGCATGATCAAGGCTTCTTGAAGGCTTGACCTCCTGGACTCAAGTGATCCTCCCACCCCAGCCTCCTGGGTAGCTGGGACTACAGGCACACATCACCACACCCAGCTGACTTTTGTATTTTTTGTAGAGACAGATTTTGCCACGTTGCCCAGGCTGGTCTTCAACTCCTGAGCTCAAGCAATCCTCCTACCTCGGCCTCCCAAAGTGCTGTGATTACAAGTGTGAGCCACCATACTTGGCCATGTTTAAAATTTTAATGGCTGTTGCCCGACTACCTTCCATTAAGGCTTTGCAAATGTACACTCCCACCGCCAGTGTATGATACAAAACATTCTCCTGCTGACTTGACATTATCTTTTTCAATGCGCAGATCTTTAGTTTTTCTTTAAAAAAAAAAAAAAGAACCACACAATAGATACCATTTTCATCTGTCTGTTTCAGCTGACAACGTAAATGTTTCTAGTTCCCTCATTTTTAAAAGAACTTTTATTACAAAAGTTTTTTAAAAGCTCATTGGCAAAGAATCAAAGTACAGTTAAGCCCTTTTATTATTTTTATTTTTTCTGTGCATACATATGTAGTTTGCTTCAACAAACATAACCTTCTTTTTAATGGGCAGTTCAGTAGAGGCAATTGATCGCTGTTTACCGAACCCCTTCCTAATGTTGCATATTTCAGTTGCCTCCAAAATTTTGCTGTTATTAATAAGACAGTAGTGAACTTCTTTGTGCCTCGGTCTTTTTCTATGGTTTGAATTTTTCCAAAGGGCCGCTGTTACCTAACTCAATTTAATCTTAAGGTGTCTAAGGCATCTTACACATGAAGCTGTCATTTAGTTGCCCCTGCGTAGTAACTTATGAATGTTCATTAAGGGGATGCTCGCCTGCCAAAATCACATAGCTGGGTGGGCGGGCCGGGCCGAGCTGGCCTCTGCAGCTCCCCTCACCCGTGACCCCACCCACATGTCTTTGCAGGTCTGGGGCTGTCCACCCGGACCCCGGCTGTGAGCACTTCTGAGTCGAGCGCGGGCACGGGCACGGGTACCAGCACCCCGTCCACACCCACCACCACCAGCCAGAGCCGCCTCATCGCCTCGTCCCCCACCCTCATCTCAGGGATCACCAGCCCCCCTCTCCTGGACTCCATCAAGACAATCCAGGGCCATGGCCTGCTTGGCCCCCCCAAGTCCGAACGCGGCCGCAAAAAGATCAAGGCAGAGAACCCGGGGGGTCCGCCTGTCCTAGTAGTCCCTTACCCCATCCTGGCCTCGGGCGAGACTGCCAAGGAGGGCAAGACGTACAGGTGGGGGTTTCAGGCGGGACGGGGTCCAAGTGGGCTTGGGGCTGGGGCTTGAGCCAGGGCTGCCCCAGGAGCCCTGCAGCGGGGCTGAAACAGGACACCTTGGGCCAAGTGGGGTAGGGGGAAGGCCAGTGTCTGGAGGGGCGGGGCCTTGTGGACAGCCCCGCCCACATCCGAAGTCCAGGTACAGGGAGGGCTCCTGGAGAGAATAGAGCCATGGCCCCTTAGGTGTGGCCTGTGTCTGGCAGCCACCCCCACAGCCTCGGGTTGTGAGAGTCAGTTTCCTCCTCCCTTTAAGCAGTGTTGTGTCAGCCCTGGCCACCTTTGAATCACCTGTCTCTTGGCCGTGCACCGTGGCTTCTGCCTGTAATCTCAGCACTTTGGGAGGCCAGGGTGGGTGGATCACCTGCAGTCAGGAGTTTGAGAGCAGCTTGGCCAGCGTGGTGGAACCTTGTCTCTACAAAAAATACAAAAGTTAGCCGGGTGTGGTGTTCACCTCTGTAAAATCCCAGCTACTCAGGAGGCTGAGGCAGGAGAATCACTTGAACTTGGGAGGCAGAGGCTGCAGTGAGCCAAGATTGGGCCTCTACACTTCAGCCTAAGCGACAGGGTAAAACTCTGTCTCAAGAAAGAAAGAAAAAAAAAAAAAAAGATTCACCTGAAGGGCTTTCTGAAAATGTGGATGCCAGGGCTTTACCTCCAGGAATTCTGAGTGAATTTGTTGAGTGTGGATGGCATGGGGGGTGGGGCAGGCATTGGTAGTTCTTGGAAGCTCCCCAGGTGATTCTAATGTGCAGCCTGGTCGAGAACTACTTCACCCCTTAGTGCCTCCTCCCCCGAACCATGGGATGTGATCCTGAACCAGGATCAGGCCTGTCTTCCCTATGAGGTGTAACCCTGTGTCCTAGGCTCCGTAAATGTTCCCCCAGGTGAGAGCTTCCTCTTCCAGATTTAAGGGTGCCCAGGTTGGGAGACTGTCCCTTGTCTTTCCCAGGTGGGCCTGTGCTTCTTGGGCTGCTCACAGGCAAGACCTGTCCCAGGTGCAAGGTCTCTCTGATGTAGAAGGCCTCCCTGAGATGGATAGACTGGGGGATCTTCCCAGGTGTGAACGTGCCTCTTGCCCCGCAGGTGTAAGGTATGCCCGCTGACCTTTTTCACCAAGTCGGAGATGCAGATCCACTCCAAGTCGCACACAGAGGCCAAGCCCCACAAGTGCCCGCACTGTTCCAAGTCCTTTGCCAACGCCTCCTACCTGGCCCAGCACCTGCGTATCCACCTGGGTGTCAAGCCCTACCACTGCTCCTACTGTGATAAGTCCTTCCGGCAGCTCTCCCACCTCCAGCAGCACACCAGGTGAGTGGCCTGCCTGCTGCTGTCCTGCTGCAGCCCAACTCAGCTTAGCACCTGTGGCCTGGCACATGGAGCCAGTGGAAGGAGGGACAAGGACCTTCTCCAGGTGCCTGTTGCCCTTGGGGTCTCGGGCCTTGCAGACCTCACTGGCCTCAGAGCTTGTTACTGCCCCCTGCCCCCACTGTTTCTCATCTCTATGTCTTTGTACATGCTGTGTCCTTTACCAGAGACACCCTCCTGCTTTTCCCTATTTCTCTGGCCATCCCCTTGTCCTCTCTCAGTCTAGCTTCCTCCAGGAAGCCCTCCCTGATTACTCTAGCTGGGTAAGGGACCTGACCTCTGTGTCTCCACAAGGCCCTGTGCATGTCCATCACAGCTGTGGTAGGTGTCGCACCCATGTCTATTTATCTGCCCACCTCGCTCAGTCTGCTGGGAGTTCTTGAAGGCAAGAGCTCGGTCTCCATTTCCACACCCCCAGTTTGTAGCACATAAGCAATTATTAAATATTTTGGAACAAATAGAAGTGTTTTTTACAGAGCATATGATTCATCTACTTAACACATATTAACAGAAACTTTTACTCTATGCCAGACACTATTCTAGGTGTTGGGGATACAGCCAGGAACAAAACAGACAAAAATCTTTGCCTTCACGGGGCATACAATCTAGTTGAGTGTGTGAAAGGGAGATTCAAAGCTATAAATGCTTTAAGAAAAGCTTGTGGCTGAGCACAGTGGCTCACGCCTTTAATCCCAGCACTTTGGGAGGCCTAGGTGGGTGGATCACCTGAAGTCAGAAGTTCAAAGCCAGCCTGCCCAACATGGCAAAACCCCATCTGTATTAAAAATACAAAAATTAGGCTGGGCTTGCTGGCTCATGCCTGTAATCCCAGCACTTTGGGAGGCCGAGATGGGTGGGTCATGAGGTCAGGAGATCGAGACCATCCTGGCCAACATGATGAAACCCTGTCTCTACTAAAAATACAAAAATTAGCTGTGCATGATGGCGGATGCCTGTAATCCCAGCTACTTAGGAGTCTGAGGCAGGAGAATCACTTGAACCAGGGAGTCAGAGGTAGCAGCAAGCAGAGGTTGCAGTGAGCTGAGGTCTCATCACTGCACTCCAGCCTGGTGACAGAGCAAGACTCCGTCTAAAAAAGAAAAAAAATTAGCTGGGTGTGGTGGTGGGCATCTGTAATCCCAGCTGCTTGGGAGGCTGAGTCAGGAGAATCACTGGAACCTGAGAGTGGAGGTTGCAGTGAGCCGAGATTGCACTCCAGCCTGGGGAACAAGATCGAAACTCTGTTTCAAAAAAAAAAAAAAAGAAAGAAAAATTGGGCAGGAGCGTGTAGACATCAGAAAGACTGGTTCACCAAATAAAAATACCATTGGTATTTTAAAAAACAAGTCAAAGATTACCAAGATTTCAGTTCATCTGTTCAGAGGGGAAGCAGCAGAGTTTTCTCACATGACGACGATCATCTCTGTGAGCATTGTCACGTGTTTGCCAATATCAGCATTGGAAAAGTCAGGGATAAAATTGGTTTTTGCTATGGAGTTTGTAATTTACAGAACTCACCAGGTTTTCTGTTTTTCAGACTAACACTACTTAGAATGGCTTTTTTTTTTTTTTTTTTTTTTTGAGATGAAGTCTCACTCTATTGCCCAGGCTGGAGTGGAGTATCATGATCTTGGATCACTGTAACCTCCACCTCCTCAGCTTACCAAATAGCTGGATTACAGCTGTGTGCCACCTTGAGAAGGGCTGTATTTGTTATTTGCTTTTTGTGTTTTTTAATCATTTATTCATTTATCATCATTGTCTTTGAATTCTTTATCCCTGAGTGCAAAATGTTTTACCTTGTCTATTTTTGGGGCACAATGTATGAGTATGATAGTAAGAATCAAATGGCAGGCCGGGCTCGGTGGCTCGTGCGTGTAATCGTATCACTTTGTGAGGCTGAGGCGGGTTAATCATTTGAGCTCAGGAGTTCCAGACCAGCAACGTGACAAAACCCCATCTGTACAAAAAATACAAAAACTAGCTGGGAGTAATGGTGCATGCCTGGAATCCCGGCTACTCGGGAGGCTGAGGTGGGAGGATTGCTTGAACCCAGGAGGTTGAGGCTACAGTGAGCTGAGATTGCGCCACTGCACTCCAGCCTGGGTGACAGTGAGACCCTGACTCAAAAGAAAAAAGAAAAAGGAAAAAGAATAAAATGGCAGAATGGCAGCAGGCGTCAGTCTTTTTTCATTGCCATGCCTCCCAAGGCACATATCTGACCGTATAAGTTTGTTTCAGCGGTTTCTGATTTTGTTACTTTGATTTTTAAGAAACTTGACCAGATTTATGTACAGAAATGTATGTAATAAGGTGTTGATTGATAAAATTCTCCCGGTTCTATGGTTCTTAAAATTAGAGCATGTGATAGAAAAGCTTGAGAGATAACTCTGTTAGGAGACTTTATAAAGCCTCCAGGCCAGAACTGTGTGTGTACATGTGAAAAAATTTTTATATTAGAGATCAGGAACCTGGAACCATCCAGTTCACCTCTGCTAGATTGTGCCTGTATGATGTATAACGTCGGTGGGGGGGGTACCCTTTTTTTGGAGAATCTTCGTTAGTCAGTGTTCCTGGGCAAGCAGAGATTGATGTCTTTTTATAACCTTAAGGGCTGGAATTCCACAAGCTGTAGAGCAGGTCCGGTCCAGTTTCCCAGAGGACCGAGGAGGCCTATGGAGGCCTCATTCCCACTTTCGAAGTGCAGCCCTTGTTTCTCACTCTCAGACTTGTCATGCCTAATTAAGTGAAATTCATCTCTAAATGTGACATTTCTGGCAGAGCCATGGTTATAAATTTGATTTACCTAATTATATCCTGTTAAGAAGGAGGACAGATTCTTGGAGATCCTGTTTACAGAACTAATGACTGTAAAAGAAAAGGGTCTCAGCAAAGGAACTTTGAAGAGTTTTTAGCCATTGTTCGAAGTCGTTTTGTAGATAAGGCCAATTATATTCGTTGTTTTCAATAGAATGATTATTTCAACATTTCCTTGATAATTTATTATTTCATATCTATATTAGGAGGTTTTTATAGTTCCCCTCCCACCCTCACCCCCAGAATTCTGAAGAGTTAGTTGGAAGAAGGCACCGTTTTAGGAATATTTTATTCTAGTTTATTGAATACAGCCTCCTAAATTGAGAATTAGAGACAGATTAAAGAAAAAAGGAAGACCTTTAGAAAATTAGAACGTTAACAATGAAATCAGTTTCATCCAGTCCTAGGGAGTAGTGATTCCTGTTCCTCTGATCCTGGGTTAGTTAGCCCGCTCTCAAAAGTTATCTCCTTCTGGACCAAGGACTCCTGGAGCCCACCTTGGCCTCTGGCAGTGTCTGGTTATGAAAAGGATGTTAGCTTGGCAGCCTGGGTGCATTTGTCTATCCTAGCGTGAAACAGAGGCCTTCAAGCAAGTATAAGGGTAAAGATCAGACCTGTTTATTAGACTAAATGATTCTGGTTAATTATAACAGTATCACAATGGAAGACAGTGGAGTCCTCTCTTAAGATATAATGCATGATCAATTTTTCAGATTAAAAACATGTTAGACTGGGATGGTGGCTCACACCTATAATCCCCAAACTCTGGGAGGCTGAGGTGGATAGATCACTTGAGGTTAGGAGTTTGAGACCAGTCTGGTCAACATGGTAAAACCCTGTTTCTACTAAAAATACAAAAATTAGCCGAGTGTGGTGGGTGCCTGTAATCCCATCTACTCGGGAGGCTGAGGCAGGAGAATCACTCGAACCTGGGAGTTGGAGGTTGCAGTGAGCCAAGATTGTGCCATTTCACTCCAGCCTGGGTGACAGAGCAAAACTCCATCTCAACAACAAAAAAAACATGTTACAGGCAGCAAGCGCATTGGGCCACCTTCAGGGTCTTTTAATCCCATGAAGCATTAACTAATTGTTAAGGGTATTTTAAATTTAGGGACAAAATTTTTTTAAGGAAATGTCTTTGTTGATACATATTATGCCAGCCTCTGTGCATTAAAATCGGTTTTTTTGGGGGCCATCTTAGAAAGTGCACAAGAACATATTATGCATTATATGTATTAAATGTTTATATATGTATAAAATTAACCCAGGGAGGTTGAATTTCTCTTTTTATTTGCCAACTTTCTTATGCTACCAACTTTATAGGGCAGCTATCACTCTAGTGTTTGGCTATTATAAATATGAAGAATACATAGGCCGGGCACTGTGGCTCACACCTGTAATCCCAGAACTTTGGGAGGCTGAGGCAGGTGGATCACTTGAGGTCAGGAGTTTAAGATCAGCCTGATCAACATGGTGAAACCCCATCTCTACTAAAAATACAAAAATTAGCCAGGTGTGGTGGGGGGGTGCTGCCTCTAATTCCAGCTACTTGGGAGGCTGAGGCAGGGGAATCACTTGTACCTGGGAGGGGGAGGTTGCAGTGAGCTGAGATCTTACCACTGTACTCCAACCTGGATGACAGAGCAAGGCTTTGTCTTAAAAAACAAACAAAAAACAAAAAGAAACTACAAAACCCAATCATTGTAAGCATCCTTCCTTTTATAAAGCAAGGAAGCAAATCTTTGGTGTTGCCCAGCAACTCCAAAAGCATTTGCATTTGCACCTTGACAGTTTTATCCTTCTGAATCAGGGACCTGGTTCTGAGAAAGGCGACAGCAGAAAGCTGATGGAACGGGCACAATAATCAACACAGGAGCGAGTGATAATAATGATGAAGAATTCTGTTTTTTTTTTTGTTCAAGAAGTAGACTTTGTTTAAAAATATTAAGAACGACCAAAAAAAAAAAAAAAAAAAAGCAACCAAAAATTAACAGGCCTTTGAAGGAAAGGAGAGTATTTAGAATGTTCTTTGACCCAGGGATTATTCTCCATTCCTGAGGGCACAATATTTTTTTTTTCCGTCTCTCTCTCTCTCTCCTTTGGAGTAATTTGAGTTCATAATGGCA